TCACTCAATCGTTGTTTGTTGCCTCCCTTTTTGGGAATGAACGTGACTCGACCAAGTCTCCAATCACTAGGAACTGGATCCTCTCCGCGAGCTATGCGACTAAATAGGTGCGCCATTTGATCTCGTGAATCTGATTTTAAGCGCTTCAACACCTTAGCCGAGATTCTGTCCAAGCCCTGCGATGTATTCGCGTGTAATCTCGTGCAATTAGCTGCTCGACACTTTTTTTTTGTTAGAAAGCTTTTTTAATGTGGTGTTTAACCATGGTGATGGCGGGAAAACGGAAATTTTCCGGAATGGTATATATTTATTAGTACGATGCACCACCTGCATTTTAAATAACTCCCAATTTTCATGAATTGAGCGTTCCGAAAAGAGAGGAAAGTAATCACCAAGAAAAAAAGAAAGTTCGCTGCTAATGGCCTTGAAGTTACCTTTAACATAGTCGCTTATTTTTTTCTGATTCTTTGGAGCATTTCTAACAGGAACCTCGATGACAAAATGTATTAATGAGTGATCACTTATGCCCTGCATGGTGCTAACTGAAGATAATAAAGAAGGTGACGTTGTTCAAAATATATACAATATGTTGACTGTTGTATGGGTGATTCTAGTAGGAAAAGTCACCAATTGACTGAAGCTGAAATCGTTACAGAAGTTTATGAAGTCAGTCGCGTCTGATGAAAATGGGTGATTGTAAGCATGCAAGCCAGTCCAGACTATATTTGGGTCGTTAAAATCACCCGAAAGAATTATTGGAACAGAAGTAAGGGAAATTATTAATGTGTTTATTTCGTCATGAAGATTTTTAACGGAGGAATGATTGTTTGATGGCGGACGATAGCATACGCCCAAAATAAGTTTCTGGGGATTCAAATTCAAAGAAACCCATGTTATTTCCAATTCGCTACTCAGCCGCACACAAAACGATTTAATATGACTTGCAATTGCGATTAACACACCGCCACCAGTCCTTTCGCCTCTATCGCAACGATAAACTGAAACTTTTTTCACAACAAAATAATTCGGAATTTTTAACAGAAGAGGAAAGCAACGCTTCAGTTAAAACCACAATATGAGCACTGGATGAGGTTACAGCAGAGCACAAGTCATCCCTATGATGTAAAACACTCCTTACATTACAAAACAGTAGTGACAAATGTTGGCTTTTATCAGTACGACCCTCACGCCTCGCAACTCGTTATGATGATGCAGGTCTTAGGTTAGTTGGAGCAATCTCTGTGTTATCTCTCGCTCGCACATCGGGGGCGGAACCGAGCTTGGAAACCGTATCAGTAGTCGCGTTGTACAGTCGTGGGCGCCGTGGCAGCCACATCAGGGCGCTGATAGCACGTAGCGGTGGACGGTCCGGCGTTCACCTTCATATCACGATAAGAAAGCGAGGCGTCACGGCAGCCGCGTCATCGCGCTGATAGCACGGAGCGGTGGACGGTCCGGCGTTCACCTTCATATCGCGATAAGAAAGCGAGGCGTCACGGCAGCCGCGTTATCGCGCTGACAGCACGTAGCGGTCGACGGTCCGGCGTTCACCTTCATATCGCGATAAGAAAGCGAGGCGTCACGGCAGCCGCGTTATCACGCTGATAGCACGGAGCGGTCCATGGTCCGGCGTTCACCCTCATATTGACGGCGGGTGTACATGTAGCACCTTTTGTTGAGATAAATCTTGTTATACCGCAGCTTATAGAGGCAATTCGTGACTTTACCGAATTCGATTAGTTTCTTTTCTGGCAGTACGAGTAGCCGGCGAAAAATATTCAGTGATATACGTCATGCTTCCATTTAATTTTAGCCGCGAGTAGAGTACCTCGTCCTTGACGTTAGAGGAAGAAAGCTTTATAGCTAGCGGGCGAAATCTGGTAGGAATCGAGGAGCCGATTCAATGTGCGCGCTCAATGGAATCTGGAGTAACCTGGAGCTGAAGGGAACGGGGAATGAGCTCGAGAACTTTCGTTTCATCTTTTCGCCCATAATTCTGACGCAAGATCGGGAAGACCATGTATAATGAGGTTATCCCGTCTTGAACAATTTTCCAGGTCATTAAGACGCTCGAGTAAGTTAAAATTATCGTTCTGCAGAGCCTCTGTGACGCCTTGCATCTCCTGAAGGTCGTTGTCGACTATTTCAAGCGCAGAAACCTTACTTTCAACAAGAGGCAGTCGACTTCCGAATTCGTTCATTTTTGCTTCAACAGATTTCTCTTTTTTTTTGTTTTTTTTCCTCTACGGTTTTTATTACACTGCTCTGCCCTCCTGTGACTTTATAGCACGAGTATTAAGGTCTTGCAGTAGCTTGCACGCATCAGCTAGTCGCGTCGCCTGGGCTTCAGTCATGGGGCCGGGTTAAGCTCTGCGTCGCCAGAGAGTAATAACAGCGACCTCAAAACATCAAGACACTCTAGAAGTATTGCACAAACAACACTTGGGCACGAAAACAGCAAGAGGCAATGATTGTTAGTTTTTCTAGGGTGTAATGGGGGGGATGGAACGGAACCAACCTGCAGAAGGATGCACACAGCGTTAGAACAATGCATTCCTAGGCTGTTTCCATGCTCACGGAAAACTCGAAGGGCGCTCCGCGGTTTTAAAGCCACGCCATCGGCGAGTGACAATGTCGATGTTGATGCGGAAACCCTCTTGAACGGAGTGAAGACACGCTGCGGCCAATCTGCGGGAGCACCGAAAGGCCCGCTGACGATGTTTTCCGGGAAGCCAAGCGACACTTGACTATTTGCTGACGGGGTGGCGATGGCTGGTTGAAGTGACGGTGACCAAAACCGCAGGAAAAAGTGATGCCAATATCTGCACAATAATGCACACAGCGTTGGAACGATGCATTCCTAAGCTGTTTCCATGCCCACTTTCTAATTTGTTTTACACTTGTTCAAGTAAGTTCAAATGTAGCACTGAAAACCAAATACGGCAAAAACAAAAAGTACGGTACATGGTTGCTCCAAAAATACTCTTAGAACAATTCCCTACCAACAACAAATGTTTGACGGACACTATAAATATATAGAGTGTACGTCCAATTAACAGGTTAACCAAACTTTTTTCGTTTACACAGGTGCGGTGTTTGGCAAACGAACGTCCGGGCACCTTAAAACATGTATAGTCACCGACGGCTTAAGGAATGCAGGGTGTGGCCTATAATGCGCTCGGTTCTCGCTTCGGCGTTCTTATCAACTAACGCCGGAATCCTATTGGCTGCGGGCACAGAATGAGGTGCACGCGGGATTAGCCGTGCTCTGCATTTCTTAAGATATCAGTGACTCTTTAGTTTGTTATCGCGGCGTCGAAGTAGGCAGTACGCCCAACCGAAAGTTATAAAAAGTTATGATTATCTTCCAAGTATACTTGTAGGCCTGCTTTAAAGTAAGTGGAGAGAAAAAAAAGGTTAGCAACGCCCAGAAGTACATGGCGCGAAATTCACTGACGTTATAATAAGATGTTTCTTAGTATTTGCGACAACGTGAAGCAGCTCTTTTATCGAAAGCTAACAAATTTTACTTTCACTCCGATGAGTCACCTTAATGTAGTGGACGGCAGGTCACTGGTTGCCGAGCTTTGACTGCAGTTGCAGTTATTGTCAACATACGGATGATCCAGAAAATCTGTGAATAGCTTCGCAAATCCAGAGATAACTAGAGTCACAAAGATCATGCGTATCCTTCCTCACATTTGGCGGTCTCCTACAGCTCAACCAGAACTTTTTTGTGTGCTGGAAAACTGACGTCGCCGACGTCGACATGCCAGCTTATGAGATAGGTAGATGCCGCAAGGGGCCAAGTGAAGCGCGTAGTGCGGGTGAGGAAGGGCAACAGTTCTTGTTTCATGAGGAACTTGGAAACCATGAAGGGTCTTTGGGTCAACGGCTACTGGTAACCAGTTACGTCCGTGGTCATGAACCGCTTTGTTGCCTTCCCTGATTCGTCGATGCAAATTGAAGGCTCTTTATATGACATGATGTTTTCGCCCCAATACAGAACACTTAAGATTACCGCCGTTCTTAATTATTTTTGCAACCAATCGCTTGTCATCATCTTAGGTGAAAACACCCGATGTATTTCAGCAGCAGTGTTGCTACATGGACGAGTCTACTTTTTTTAATTGTCGTGTTGTGTCAGAATGTAATCTAAAATAAATTCTGGGTCTGCTACACAGGTGGTACATTGCATGCCGCGCGGAAATAATACCACAACTTTAGGATCGTACATTTCTCTGCGAATTCACGCATTAATGGCCCCAGAGATAGTTGTGGGGGGCGCAGTAGAAATAAGTTTGAAAGCATTCATCACAAAAAGTGGTATTCATCTATGTGACTAAAAGCGGCGGTTTATCCTTTGTCATACCATAAATACAAATAATTTGTTTTCTTTTACTGCGAATTGTTGGAAATAGTCATCTTGAAATTGCGTATGGCCGCCAGCATCTTGTATGAAATTTGAACCTTGACATTGAGTTTTATGCGATGAGCCGAGCGGATATTTGATGGCACGTGGACTCAAAGTTTTCGTCCTTGCTTATACGCAGCTGCACTCTAAAAAAACGTCTGTGCGTCTGCTATGACGCACAACACTCGGAGAACCAATTAGCGCAACTTATGGAGGCAACTCAGCAAATGACGATGCCGAAACATCTGTTTAGACCAAAAAACGCCGACTCAGTTGTGACATTAAGCAATGCAAGCGTGACGTTTTGTATGGCTTAATGTCACAACTAAGACTGTTTTTTTTTTTTGTTTTTTTGGTCTAAACATGTTTCGGCATCGTCATTCACCGAGCTGCCTCCGTAGGTTGCGCTAATCGGCTCTCCGAGTGTTGTGCGTGAAAGTAGACGTACAGACTTTTTTTAGAGTGTGTGCTTTATTCTACAGTGCGCCAATTATTTCCCGTTATAAGCGAACTCCGAGGCTATTTCACTACTAATCGTTCGGCAGAAGCAGCCCTTCTATTCACCGATTTCAGAGAGATAACGCAGATGTATCTGAGAATGTGCGTGGTAAATATTGCATTCCTTTCCAAAGTTCTGCTTTTAATGTACGCCTCACCAGTTATTGGATCTAGCAACTGCAGGCCTTCTGCAAGCAATGATGCATGGAAGGTAATGATATATTGTTCTCATTGTGTGCAAAAATATACATTAGGTAGTTAGACCACTGTCTACCTTATTTCCTTTTTTATAGAATATTTCCTATTGCAAATGTTTCAGTTTCTGAAGACGTTTAAAGAAGGCTATATCCGGTATACAACAGTGAACGCTCACGAGATATGCCACTCATTCGATCAAATACAACTTGATACTACAACCAAAAAGGCTGTCTACAGTGTTACCACCTTGTCAACTGGTAATGACCACGCAATGTAAGTAACTTTAGGACCATTACTGGAAAATAGTGATGAGCGCACGGAGAGAAGCGCCCAGTTTGGCAGCCGACCTTTATAATATTAGAGTTCTCTCAAATCTGAGTAAATGTCTTGGTTAATGTGATCCCGAATTTTAGAGCGCACCTCTTAGGCGCCATTTTCCGGCTTGAGCGGCGTCGGCTTAACCGCGCGTTGCATTATTGGCAGTTTCCTTAATGAAGTCACGAGGGTTACTCTTGTGAGGGTTACGAGGGTTACTCTCACTAGGGTTACGAGTTTTACCCTCAAGAGGATCAGGAGGGTTACCTTCACGAGGGTTACCCTCACGACGGTCACGAGCGTTACCCTCACGAGGGTCAGGAGGGTTTCTCTCACGAGGGTCACGAGGGTTACCCTCACGATGGTCACGAGGGTTATGAGAGTTTCTCTCACGAGGGTCACGAGTGTTACACTCAAAAGGGTTACTAGGGTTACCCTCACGAAGGTTGCCCCCACGAGGGTAACGAGGGTTACCCTCACGAGGGTTGGCCCCCTAGGGTCACGCGAACCCCCTGAGGTCACGTGACCCCATGATGTCACGTGACCCCCTGAAGTCACGTGACCCACCTCAGGTCATGTGATCACCGGGAGGTCACGTGACCTCCCCCCTAGGTCATGTGACCCCCCCCCTGAGATCACGTGACCTCAGGGAGTCACCAATCCCTCATTTTTCTTCGAGTTCTTTTGTTCTCGCAAAAGCATATACTACACTGTTAGCAAGTCCCGTGTATTTGGCGAATATTTGGGGTGAAAAACACGCCATTTACACAAATTACCATAAATTTACACGATGAGTAACGAATAATTCGTTCAGAAATCATGCGAGCTTGTAAAAAACGTGTTTTGGTTCGGTCATACACGCATAACCGTGTAGCCGACCTCTAAAACACGCATCGCCCCCGTCGACGACCGCGGCATTGCCGGCTATCGAAGCACCGGAATGCTTGGGGACACACTTAGAAAGGACCGTCGAGACAAATGCCGCGGAAAGAAACATGTCTCGGAGACAGATATGCACCAAAAGCAATTGCGCCATGTCGCAGGACGTTGGCGAAACCCACGCTTACCGGGCTCGCCGCCATCTTCTGGTCGATGGCAATGCGGCTTGCTTCATGTCGCCCATGTTTGTATTTAGTTTAGGGGTCCTGATAACAGTTTCTTAGACACCACAAATAAAGTTATGGGTCTAATTATTCGTTCCAAACAGTTAAAATGGATATAAAAAGCGTGTCCTCGATGTGAACACGTGACATTGCAGTTGGTTTCGTTTTTGCTTCAACCTTCAACTGCAAGCGATCTGGCGATCTGGCCACGGCGCAAGCGCAACGCCGATGTACGCTGGAAGCAAGCGCCGGTTGGCTTTCGTTGTTTTTGTTTGACCGGAGAAAATCTGGCAAGTACGCATGGCGTCGCTACTGTTTTGGTTTGACGGGACGCGAGAAGCTTCGCATAGAGCTTCGGAGTTTGCGAGCACATAGTGAAGACGTGACCGGAGAAGGGCCCCTGTGATGTTCCTGGAAGACGGAAAGTAGCATTCGTAATCGTCGTGTGTGCTTTGAAAGCGAAGGGAGTCACAGGGTCCACGAGTTCGCAACCACAAGCCAAGGTTCACGACAGCGCGGCGTTGACTTCGGCGATCTCGTTCTGTTTGGTGCAACCCGGCGATGCGAAAAAGAGCTGAAACATTCGTCGTGTGTGGTGCGGTGCTTTGTATTCCGGGTCTGTTTGAACCACGCTTTTAACATGGAGCGCAAATTGTTTGTTGCGTGGTGGAGGTTCAACGGGTACAGTCCCGTCGTCGTCAGCTGATCCGGTCCAGCTGGTCCGGGAGGACGCAGCGAGCGTTTTTAAAAGTAAACCTTCCCTCGTTCCGTTTCGAACTGTGGAAGTATCCCGACACATACCGTGAGTAAGAAGCAGCGGGCGTTTTCAACAAAATTACGTTGTTTTAATTGAATAATGGACTCCGGATTGTTGTCTTAAATCTGCCGTTTTTTATGCTTCGTGTTGGACTGCGTTTGCATAGCGACGCACACCGCTCGAGTATGATTTGGTCCTGCAACGAGTTTGTTGCGGCAATCATGCGGCGTGAATAAATAAGGGCAAGGTTTCCTACCTGCCCACAGATGCATGTACTGAGACCATTTTTTATGTTGTGAACGTAGTGCTCTTTCTTTATTTTGGAAGACGCGTTGGTGCATTTATTATGGTACAATCACTTGAGAGTTGAGAAATTAGAGAGCGAGCAAGCTTTCTCAACTTTGTCTCTTTCTCTCTGGCACTGCCATGTTTCAGTTTCAGTAGGCTTATCTACTAGCAGGTACAAACTGCTCTAAAGCAGGTAAAAAACGGGAAGCTTAGGACGGTGCGGACTCCGTGTTTCGCGCTTTTCGCAAGGTGACAGGGTAAATGCTTTTGTGAGATATGCGGAATATGCAAGCGATTTTGTTACGCCCGTCGTTTGCGTCTCTCCAGCAAAACGAATAAGATGATCTACTACAAAGGCGCAATCACAAGCCAAGATTTAAGATAGCAGTCGTTTGCTTCGGTGATCCGTGTAGCTGTATTTTACCCTGCTCTCTGCAACACCGTGTCATGACGAAGAGCTGGAATGGTCACGGTTTGTGCTGGCCTCCCGGTTGACAGAAACCCGCGTCGCCCGCATCGGCACCGAGTGCGCTTGGGCTGTTGATGCTCCAGCCTTTCATCCGCGGCTTGTCGCCAGCTCATCCTGCTGCTCAACGGTGAGGAAGCGGCGAGAGTAACCTCGGAAGTGAATGTAAATCCTCGTTCATTCAGTTATCCGGTGTCAAAGTGTGGAAGATGTCCAACGTGTACTGAGGGCGGGAACTACGAGCGTTTTGCCTTGCTTTTATAACCGAAACCAGAACAATGAGATATCTGCCTTGCGTACTCTAAAATGACGGAAGCAATAAGTTTCAACAGGTCGAGTACATCACCGGGGATGTAGGCGAGACGGTGCACACTGTTTAAACGCTTGCAGTATCCACGAGTGGTACCAGGAAAGCGACGTCAACAGAGAATTCACTCTGAAAAAAAAGGGTATCACCTTACACCCTTTTGTCCCATATAATACACCCCAAAACTTCATTTCGACTTACAGCGCCCTATAGTTGAACAAACGGCCCCAAATTTTACCAGGGGCTTGATAACGGTGCGATATAACTTATTAAATTGCTAAAGTACGTATCAAAGACCAAAGAAAGAAAACACGGAGCTTTTGCAGTACGGCCAAGAAAACTCCGATAATTTTTTTTGTAGTCAATAATACGTACATCAGCTATCTTAATATAGTGTACCACACGGCTCTCAAGCCCCTCGTAAACGTTGGGGCCGCCTGTTCGATTATGGGGCGCTGTACGTCGAATTGAAGTTTTGGGGTGTATTATATGGGACAAGGGGTGTAATAATACACCTTTTTTTCTGAGAGTGAAGGAGCTCGCGATTCAGCATAATACACTGCTACGGGCCCGTGTATCTTCAAAGTTCGGGGTGGTGGCGGTATAAAAAAAAGACGCATCAGCGCCCCGCACCAGTGTTCACGAATAACACCGGTCACAAACTCCCAAGCCCCACCGCTCTTCTCGACACCGACACGACATACGACAACAAACTGCATCAAAACGCCCCAAAAGTGAAGGCGTCTGCTCCCGTACTGCAACTGCTGCAACTAGCGGAAGTGAAGTGTTGGGCGGATGTCCGGATGTCCTTCACAAAAATATATAAAAAATGCTTTGCGCAAGGATCATTTTCATTTATTATTGTATACGTAATGACAAAATTCCAATAATTAGTTTTTCTATCTGATTCATGCTAGTCGGACTGCTCATAACACTGGTCAAGCAAGAAAATAAAAATTTGAACTTTTTCATGACCGGTTTAAGATTTATTGTTAACATATCATTATTTATTGCAACGGACTAGCATTATAGATTTTGCCTCTATACTTTTTAAATGCAAACAGTTCTAACACACGGCTGTCCATTGCGCCGTGTTTTGTGTATTCTTCTATAAATCTGTAATGGTCAGTGACCAAGGAGCTCACCCGCACATGTCAAGCTTATATGCGCCGCGGGGAGAAATGGATATCGAGTAGGAAGTGTCGGGCATCAATAAAGAAAAAAAAAAAAAAGGAAGTGTCGGGCGTTGTGTCGGTTGTTGTGTTTGTGTATATGTCGGTGCCGTGGAGCTGTGTGCTGTGTTGCCTGCGTTGTATGTAGGGTTGCTGTGTGGCCGTGGTCGTTCCCAGTGTTAACAGACTCGTCTTTTTTTAAAAAGCAGGCTGCTAGAAATCTCGATAGGTGGCGCAAGTTACCGCCCGATTCTAAATAGTTTGCTCAAGTTATTTATCCATGTGAGTTCGGCATTCCTTTTTTTCTTTTTTTGTCTAGCGGCTCGTTGAAGCTATTGACGCCGCCGACCGCCGACAACACACGTACGTACCTTTGCAAGTAGCTACGTCCGCCGCTTGGAGACTTTACTGTGTATAAAAGACATCGAACGAGAACTAACGCGCCCTGTGTGCTTTCAATTCGGCTGAAAGGCGCGCGGCTCGCTGGGCTCGTCTCTCGCCTGTTCTCGGCCGCTGGCCGCCATGCTTCATAAGGAACACGCTCGAAACGGTTTTGCGGAAGGCAGACACGGTGTAGCGTGTTAAGTTTACACAGCAACTCATGTGTAGACGAAAAACACACACAGATGGCCTCGTGTAAAACGAACACGTTTCGACGTGTCCGCTATGGGACAATGGTTTACACGTCTGGGCGTGTTAATTTTGCTAACAGTGTACCTTACTGTGCTATATTTAAAAGTCAAAATTGGTTGTCCCGCTAATGGATTCCAAAAAATAATAAAAGAAAAAAAAGTGATATGGTGAAATTTCATTTTTCTTTGAACTACTCTGAAAATAACCACAAGGGAGCTCAGTTCTGATTCAG